TACCGTATTTATTATTTGTTTCATATATTCTTTTTTGTTTGACATGCAGTAGGAATTTTTGACATAAGTCTTATGAAGTGTTTCATATGTTTCCATGGTCATGCTATTTACTGACCCATATTTTTTAATTGCAGGTATAATATGACTATAGTTGAACTAGTTGATTATAAATCGGTTAGTTGATTAAAAAATTTTCTAATCATTTAGTTGGAAAGTTGTCAACTATTCAGTTTTCCAACTAACAATTTGGAACACTACTCTTCTGATTTCTAAAATTTGGTATCTCGCATACCTACTTCCACTATCAAGGAAATGATTTAAAGAAATTGACTCATTAGTGACAAAGTGGATCAAGAACAATTCAAGAATGCTCCCTCAATTCTCAATCTTCCAACTCAGCTATGAAAAAGAAGGTCTAGCAGCTCCAATTCTCAAAGACATGCTAGACACTAGGCTTCTATCGATTTGGATCAAACTACTGTCTAGTACCTCCTTTTGGGCAGCCTCAGAAAGAGATACAATTTCAATAAGAATAAGAAACAAGAGAAAAACCTCTATTAACAATGCATTTACACAGGTTCCCTGCAAAAGTAAAGATTGGCCAGAAAGATGGTGGCCATACTTGACCGCATGGAGAAGATTCAAGGGCAGAATAGAAGTAACTAGGCCTTGGCCTTGGGAGCAAAAAGATATCAAAATAGGAGACATAGAGGGGCAAAAATTTACAGTCAAAAATGCTCTGAAAAGCCTATATGAACCAGACGTATTGCAGAACTCCTATAAATGGATTAAGTCAAAATGGAACCTAAACAAAAAAAAGGACACTTTCTGGCAATTAATGCATAGGGCTCTACCCCTTGGCTACTGATTAGTACATATCAATTCAGATAGCCATGGAAACTGTCCCAATTGTCCTCATTACACACAAACGCTAGAACACTTCACTCTAAAATGTCCATTAAGTAAAACAATCTGGGAAACTGCTTATGAAGTACTTAAGACAACCGAAACTGAAAAATGGGAGGACATTTTTCAAGCGACTAATATTAATGACAACAGAAAACATAAGCCTGCAATCTAGTTACACATTAACTGCATCTACGAAATATGGTGCTGGTACATGCAAGCCAAATAGGGAAACAATACCATCTCTTAGTTGGCAATTGCAATAATAACAAAAACTAAATTAAAGTTTGAAATTAATTTATTATATAAAATAGCTTCTCAAAAAGGTGATAGAAAGCCTAACGGAGGCAAAAATATATTAGATTTCATAGTTTCTCTATATAATTCAAAATTTTGTAATAATTACCTAAATATAATAAAGTATACTTAGGTGTGTTTTAATTAGAGTTGCCTGCTGTAATTGTTTTTAAAAAGTTGTAATATTACAACCTATATATCGTAATATTGCAACCTATATGTCATAAAGGTTGTAATTAATTATGGCAGGCAACCCTAGTTTTAATAAATAAATAAAAAATTGCATTTATAGAATCAAAATATATACTGATACACCTCAAATATATTCACCAATTAATTAGTAAATAAATAATATTGTCTTTAAATCAGTACAGAACAATAAACCATTGAAAATTTAAAAAATTATAGGGCCAAAGATTCCTTGGAAGATAGCAACTGGATTTTATTAAATAAAAATTTGCCCAAGTTAGTTGCAGTCAACCATGAGAAGGACAAAATTGTTATTTACTGTTTACTAGAAACTGGCAAGAAAATAACCATTCAATTAACTAGTGCTAAGTCCTACTTTAGATAGTAGAATATATGATTGTATATATCCATCTTCATATTTATATTCATATATATATCATATTCCATTTAATTATCTAATCTATTAAAAGGAATCCACTTAATCACATCTTCATATTCTGTACTTTAAGTTGTAATTCTTTAATACAATTATTGACATCTTTATTTCTACTTGTCTATTCTTGTGCAGTTTTCTGAGTGACACCAAGCTTTTAATGTGTTATATTGGTTGCAATTTGCACACTTTCCAAAATATTTATCTCTTTTAAAATCATGAACAAATATATGCTCATTTGTTGTGCTTTCCTGAGTTAATTCATATACTTTAAGGGTGTTACTTTCTAATTGCGTGAGATCTTTAAATTTATAAATATAAATATAAATATATGTATTAATAAAGTGAATATGCAATTACTGTAACCAAAACCAGAGCAAAAGTACTTCCTAAGAAAAAAGAAAGACCAAAGAAAATTAACACTAGTTACCTAGAAAGTCTTTGCCCCTGCAAGACACTATCTTTAGCTGTCTTCAAAAAACTAAATTTTTAGAAAAATTTTTAGAAAAATTTGAAATTTTGGGGGATTACTGTTTACCCTGTAATGTAGATCACTTGGCACAAACAAACAAACGCTTTTGGAAGTAAACAAAATAAATACAACAAATATTTTACGTGTCTCGAATATTCTAGAAAACTAGGACGAAATTACTGCAACTTCAATAGTACAAAATATTAGCAAAGTACAATGAAACTAATTTAACTTGCAGGAACATAAGAGAAATATAGCTCAGCAACTAGTCTAACATTATAGACAAATTTAAAAAGAAATTACCCTAACAAATATAAATCGACAAATAGATAAAAATTTTGGAAATTACATATAAAGACCTGACAATTTTCATATATAAAGGTAGGGGAGGTAGACCACTGATAAAAAAAAATCAGGTGATAAATGACAAAGACAAGTTTTTCTGTTGAGAGAGTTTTGCCTTGATTTTTTTTCGCTTGTAACCAATTAGGGTAGGGAATGGGTAGCCCATTGGGCCTGTACGGGCTTTTTTTGGAAATTAATTGACCATCCCCCAAAATATTAGTCACATGATAAATCATCATATGACTAGTGTTTTGACGAAATGGCCCAAATTAATTTCTAAAAAAAGCCCGTACAGGCCCAACTCCCCACCCTATAACCAATTATAGCTATCTATTGCATTTCACATTGTTGTAATGAATTCTGGGTTCTTAAATCCTAAGTATTTTGCTATGTTTATATCTGCCTTAAGTATAATCCTTTTCTGCTCAGTATAAATTTCCTGCACTCTTTCTTGTGATACTGTTGCCAAGTCTTTAATTAACTCTACTTTCATAATTTTATCTATTTGTCGATTTATATTTGTTATAGTAATTTTTGGTTTACTTCGTCATGCATAACAGAGTGGTCACTGAGCCAGATGGT